GACTCATTTCCAGAGTTCCCTATTCCAGTTTCATTCAGTGGAAGCCTTCTCAAAAACATGTGTGTGTCTTGGTAGAACATTTCCCACTAAATTCTGTCTCCAGGTGGGAATTGATGACTTACACCATCTTTGTATGTTGTCCTTTCCCATGTCATTATTAATGTCTGCCAATACATGCACATGAAGTGCTTTCTGCTGTCAGAGTTGAAAACAAATCATAGAAGGAATAACATTTCATTAGAAGCAAGGATCATTATATGGACTGCTGTGACCCTGGGAATCCCTTCAGTGCCAACTGGCAGAGAGTCCACCATACTGCAACTCACATCAGGCCTGTCACACTTATTACTTCCAACACACTATTGTCATATTATGTATCTAAAAGATCTCACATAAGATATCATATATAAACTGGAAATATACTGGTCCTGAAAATGATTACGTAATGTATGTTCAGGTTGTGCATAAAGAATTATATGTGTGTGTTGGAAATATGTTCTTAAAATGTTTTTTGAAGACAGTGCGTACAACAAGCCTGCCCTACATAAAGGAATATGTATTTACCTGCCTGACTGGCTTGATTACAGGAAGGGGGGTGGGGGGGGAACAATGAAAGTACATTTACATATAAGGTAAACAAATCAATCAAGCTAACAAGCAGCAGAGAAGACAGTTCAGCGATCATGCCAGGGGACAGAATCTGCACCTCAGGAAGCCTTCCTGGCTCTTGAGGAACAGACAATGGAGTTTGGGTAATATTAAAACATTTTAGTTATCCATCACGTAGAGGACATAAGGAACAGCACCCTCTGAGCCTGTGAATGGTGGATTCTCTTGGCCTGAAGGGCAGGAGCTGCTGATAACGGGCTGTGGGTGAGAAACTGTTTTAGGCAAAGATAAAACTTGTTAGAATTAAATTTTACGCATTAGAAACCATATTTTGTTTTGTTTTGTCTTGTCTGTAACCATATCTGTCTCTTTTCCTCTTGCTTAGTCTCACTTATAGCTCTGTTCTTTGTTAATAAAGGTATTCTTATTGATGTAAAGTGAGAATTTTCAGCTACACTGACAAGTTGGTGTATGCTCTGTCTCTTTGGAGGCAGTGAACTTAATTTCTGTAAGTCTCCAGTGAGAGGACACTACAGAGAGACGTCTCTGGGGAATTGGATTTTTTCCCAGAGACAAGATGGCTTGGTCCAATAAAAGATATTACCTCACCCACCTTGTCTCTCTAATATCCTGGGACCAACACGGCTACAACTACACTGCATAGTTCTAATTATATTAATTTAAAAAAACTATTTTAGGATCTCTTATGTGATCTAATTTAGCTAAAGATGTGGAACAGGAAGGTAGTAGGGTCTTCACACATGAAACCCTCTTGAAGGATTCTGCTAACAATTAACCTTTTATACCTATATGTTATAGAAAAAGTATTTCTGTTACTCAGAACATAAACATAATTTTTTCTTTGTGTATTTTCTTCATGCCCACACAACATAGCAAAAATCTGAAGTTTGGCACAGCATAAACAGTGGAATTTTTAAAAAGGGGAATGCCACCACATTTGGGGGCTTTTAGTTTACCAGACAATTTTCACTAGTTTAAAAAGAACTGCAAATGTTTTACACAACTCTGAGTTATTTGGAATACGTATTAATTAATATTTAATACAGGTTTGGAAGTGACATATGTGTAAACAAAGGTATTGAGAAATAAATTAGTCTAATGTAGCTGAATAACTAACCTGAGGAGCTTGAAAACACAGTGTAGGAAACAAAAATCAATCATGAGGCTGGAGTATAGAGTTAATACTTTTGAAAGTCAGTCCAAAAGGAGTGTTGTAGGATGGCAGAGTAGGGGTGCTAAGCTCTTCTGTTGAGTTACTTTGTTATGAGATGTTTAAAATCCTACATGGACAGTACTGCCGAGCCACATAAACAGATGGTTTCAGTTAGATTCCAACCAGAACACTAGGGCGATTGGTGCTTCAATCAGGCGGAGGGAATTCAGGTCTGAGACAAAGACGGTCCTACAAGGAAAATCCTAGTAACAGACAAACTTTGGAGAAAGCTTAGGCTGCAGTTTAGGAAGAGGGTAAATTTGAACTACATACGGCGCTGTCTTCATAAGCAGGGCAACTCAGGTATCACAGTATTTTGATGTAATATCATGGTGTTTGTACTCCCACATCACAACATTGTGATATAACATTGAACTGTGGTATTTTGTGGACCTGGAAATGATTCTGGAACTAGTAAAATCCCTGCAAGGAGGGCATCCAAGACATGGGATCATCCTGAGAAGATTAAATCAATCCTGGAAATACTATGAAGAGTTCTTGAGTGTAAAATAAGAAGATGAAAAGCTACACTGTGTAGTCTGAGCACAGCTTGCAGCCTTTGTTCCAATAAGAAAAATAAATAAAATACAGAGAAAATTGTTAATGTAAAACTTTGAAAGTCCAATGCATTCCAGTGTTGCTGCTCTTCCTCCCAGCCCCAAAGAAAAATTAATTTACTGCTAGCGCTGAGCTGTTTACCAGCAGTTCAGACTTTGGTAAGAAAGACCCTCCAGGGATGAATAAAAAGTGCTCACAAACTTATGTCCATTCTCCCTTTCAGTTTGGGTTGAAAAGTATTTCTGAAAGCTGCCAATATTTACATATTAAGCACTGGAATAAATTGCCTAGGCAGGTTGTGGAATCTCTATGATTGGAGATTTTTAAGAGCAGCTTAGACAAATACCTATTAGGGATGGTCTAGATAATACTTAGTCCTGCCATGAGTGCAGGGGACTAGACTAGATGACCTCTCGAGGTCCTAAAATTCTATGGGTAACAGCCGATTCAACCATTTCACATGAGATTGAGACCATTCAAGAAGAGAAAACCTTTGAGAGTGTGGATCAAAAATGGTGTGTTTACAGGTTTTGTTTTTTTTCTTGGAGGTCTCTCCATTAACTGTAATTAAGCTTCCTTTATGTTTGTGAGCTTAGACAACTTTTCAAGAACTAGTTAAGTGGTCGAGTAAATCCTGCTATCACGTTGTTCCAAACTTTATTCATAGCAGCTGGTGTTCTGGAAAGGTTTCTTAACTATTTTCTTGAGACTATATACATGTTGCTTGTTGGAATGAACCAGTTTTTGGGCCAGTTTTACCCCTTTTTTAGACAACATACTCTCTTCCTACCCACTGTAGGCATAATTATGGTTAAGCATCAAGAAAAATAGCAGCAGACATGTTTACTATGCAAAGTGAGGAGGGTTGGGGGGGGGATGACTTGCATAATTTTGTGTGCGTTAGGTTCTAATTTCAAAATGCACTCCCTACCAAAAAGTGACAAGGAAAATAACTGTTGTGTTTATTTCTAATAGCAGAATTCTTCTCCCTTCTTCTTCACAAAGATGAACAGCAAAGATGGTAAAACTAGAGATTTTGGGGCTACCATTTCCCTCTTTCCCTCACATCCCATAGAAGGCAATGGGACTCAACATCTCACCTGGTTCTAAATGTGCAGCCATATAAAGACATGCTCCTGCTGCCAGACACAGCCAAAAAGAACTGGATTACAAGAGAAACTGATCCATAATTTAGGGACATAATCTGTAATACATTATCATCTGAATTGCCACTCTGGAATATATTGATCTAGTTTAAAATAATCTCTTTTACTGTTAGTCAATTGCAATGTTCACTTGTTCTTGACGATATTTCTTTAATTTTCCAATTTTTTTTCATAATGGAACTTAGCCAGCTAAACCAACAGCAGGATTCCAATCTGAACACAACTGCATTTACCGAGAAATTAAAGATGGGCTCAGGCCACAATAATACATCTCGATGGGCTCCAATTTTTACATTCTAAAAGTCTGGGGCATGCTGAGATCCAGCATTTTGGTTCAGTCACTTCTTTACCAGAAATGGTAGTTACTGCATATCATGAATGACAGACATGAAGTGAGTTTTAACACCTTCAATTTGCTTCACTTTCTGTTGATCTAGAGAAAAAGTCTGGCACAATCAGTCAGGTTCAAGTAAGCTCTTTCACCTTCCTTGGAAGCATCAAGTAGTACTGGCTGTTGCGCATTGTTCAGTCTCTCAATAACCAGAAGAAGAAGGTATGTCAGTTTCAGTACCAACAGATATATGGGAACCTAACTTGGAATCAGTTCCTAAATATAAGAGTGGCCTTGATTTAAGTAGTCTTTACAGAGCATGAGTGTCTCTATTCAACAGGGGTATCTGGTTACTCAATCCCATTGGGGAAAGAGTTATAATTTTAAAACAATGTGAAATCCAATGAGCAACTAGGGGAATTTATATGGCTATTCCTATACTTGTTTCTGGCTGCAGAGTGTTACAAGATTTTCTAAATTCTTTCTTTTTTGGAACAAAGGTGAAGTGGCTTGGAATGCTATCTTTATGGCAGCAACAGTTCTTTGCCTGCTTTCAGAACTTTGCTTCCCTAGGCATGTCGAAGAATCTGAGAATTTGCCCAAGGTGGTTTTGAAGTTCTAAGGATTGGTAAAAAGGGAAATTGCACATTGATCCCCTTTTAATGTTGAAAAACAGAACAGAATCCCTTTTTATTGCAATATAAATGTGTTAACATTTTGAAATTGTAGCCCTAAATTGTTAAATTGCAAAATAACTCTCTCTTCACAAATATTAGAATTTACAAATTCTTTCAAAATCACCAGCGCTGCATGTAATCATCTACTTAGCAATATTTAAGTACTCTAATCTCTTTATGTTTTTTTTTAAATCGCTAAATGTTATTATTCCATAGATTTATTTGCTTTCCCAGTAGACTACCTCTAAATCCTGTTTAATATGAGTTAAAATCTGTAGTCTTGACAGGTATGGTTTTCTCATCAACTGCTTGAAAAGCAGAGTGTTCTCACTAAAGTGCCGATGCAGCAGTAATGCGTTCAGAAGGCCTTACAGCAAAGTTTGCCATCTTGCAGTAGTTCATAGCAATAAAAGCTTAGTTTTTACCTCTGTGATTGGTGAGATCCCTGGATCCTGAAGGCAGCGGCGTATAGTGTGTCTCGGGGGAGACTGAGGCAGCATCACTGGAGGAGGCCTGTGTGATAAAACAAATATTATCAATACTCTAAAAGGAAAGTCAATGACTAAACAAAGATGTAAGATGAGCTATGTGATGTGATTACAGATGCACAGAGTTGACAGTCATATACAACACTGATAAATAATTACGGGGGGAAACGTAAGGATTTTAAATGTTGTTGCCAGTCCTCAAAAGGAAATAGTATCCATAACTTTTCCTACAGCGATACTAGAATAGTGTCACTAAACAAATATTCGAACACACATCGCAACTTTAGAAAATGATACTTCCACTAAATCTTTTTTTTAAACATTAAAAATGTCATTGTTAGTTCAATACGAGTTCATTTGCTTGCATGAAAGTCATCAGTCAGCAGATTCTTTCAGCAGGATAGGAAGGATAGGAAGGTAGATTACCTCCTTTTTAAAAATAAAAACAAATACATTTTGCACTACTCATTGCCTCACTGGGAAGATAAACGGTTATGTCACAAATGAGAATGCTCATAATGCACTGTGCAAAAGAAATTAAATAGAATATACAGCTGTCAGGAAAAATAACCTGTATCAAAAGTTTGAGACATTTGAGAAGCCTGATTTAACCAAAAAAAACATATTTAGTACAGGGGAGAGACAAAAACAACCCTATGCAATACAATCCCAAACTTTCTCCACAATAAAGAAGAATTCCAGATCTTACGCCTTTGTCTGTTATCCAAAGAAAATATAGAGGTGTTTTAAATCCAGGGCAAAATACATTTTATCCAGTGAGACAGGGTTGCATCCCAAGGGAATATTATAAAGACCTGGCATTACAAAAACCAGAACAAGGCTCTATTTATGCTTTTGAGTTACAGGACAGCAATGTTATTTTATTGGAATGAGATCTTAAAGCAAAAGATAGGTCTTATTTGTGAACATGTATCATTCCCATAGAGTATTCCTTAAAAAGACAGCTTTTTTTCCCCCTCATTTAAAAAAGTGTTATTTCACAGACACAGATTGCAAAACGTGTTAAAATGTACGGGCTTTCTTTAGTGCCCTCTTCCCACAGTGCATGGGGCGGATCCGATTCGTGCTGCCACCTGGCAAGTCCTAGGATTAGACATTTGCAAAGACATGGGATTCCCCCCGCTGCCAGCAGTGGGTGACATTAAATAATGACGGGGGAAGGAAAGTCCGTGCAAAGTGGCGGGAGAGAGATGCAAAGGAACAGGCCGACCTGCTGCACGACCTCAGCACTGGCCCTGCCCCAGGTCCCAGCATCGGGTCCCTGCTTCAGAGCATCCCAGGTGTAAAGAGCAAGTGGTACAGTCCCGGTTCCAAGTGCGAGCGCCCAGCTCAGTTGACCGTGCTGCTTCGGCTCCTGGCAGCATAGTAGCAGCACTTAGTGTTCACATGCAGTTGTTAATCTCCAGGGCTTTCATGTCCTTTCCAGGCTAGTTAATGTGGGAGAAATGAAGCACTTAGTTTTCACAACACTGTTTTTCCTACTGCCGCAACCCACTCATCTAGATACAAAAATCAGACTGATGACTTTTAGAGAAGATAAAACAAAGGGGAAGAAGAAATGCAATCATTAAGCTATTTCTTAAATCCAGGTACAATGTATGGGATGGGTCATGAGACAAGAGTAGTCACAGTCTACCGCATGATGTTTCCCAAGCACCCATTGACATTAGTGCTACTAATAAATCAAAGTAATCTTAGTAACCGTCACTGTTTATTTGTAATGGTTTTGTAATCACTCAAACACTGTTTGACTCAGACTTTCTAATTGGACAGATATTTAAAAAAATAATTTACAAAGGTTGATGAGAATATAAATTTTAATGTAAAGTGGACTACAATGTTTTGGTTCAGCAGGTCTTCAAACATTTGGAAACACTGATTCCATTTTTTTTTAAAAGGTTACCAGGAATTAAACTATGATTGACACTGGTTTAGAAATAGTAATGATAAAAATAAAAATAAGGAATACATATTCTGTTTGAGGTCTATGAATATTTAGAAACCTTTTTTTGTCATTCTTCTTGGACTTTTGTAGATGCTAATACAGTTCAAAAGGTAAGTGACTCAGTGGATTAGCATACTAGCCTTTCACCTCTGGAGACCCATTTGTAGTTTTCACACAAGGTCATATGTTGGAATGATTTTTGCGGTCACAGCTTGGTCCCTATCAGAAATCTAGCCACATCACTAAAACATTTCACTATTTAGCACAAAGGACATCTTATGACAAATATAGGACTCCTGAAATAGCAAGGACGTTACAGATCATGACAGGGATTCTATAGCTAATTCTTGCACAGCTTCTTCTCCCACTGCCTCCTGCAGTTCAGTACTATTATACCCTCCGACTTCATGAATACAAAGCTGAAAAGGCCACAGGTAGAGGCCACATCCTCAGCTGGTGACCAGTGTAGCTGCATTGACTTCATTTGAAATATGCCAATTTACACCAGCTGAAGATACAGACAAAAGAGTTCAGACCTGTGAGATGTTGAATGCCCTCCAACTGTAAATAAAGACAATGTGAGCTGAAGGCATTTACCACCTCACAGGATCAGGCCTCCAAATTGACAGGCCACTAATGTATGCAATAAGTCCCAAATACAAAGTACAGAGCATGTGTCCACTATGCTCTATTGTTTTATCTTGGCCAGCTAGCACTGGGTAAGATGAGGATAACTGTGATTATAATGTATTTAACATAAGAGCTTTTCCCTAAAGTCTCTCCAACAGCTCAAAACGGAGGAGGCCTCATATTATACATTCTAGATGTTATCTGTCTATTCAAGTACTCATATTTGGGACTCCGATAATAGTGAAGGTTTCTCTTTGGTACTTTTAATCTCAATTTAGGCTGTTGACAGTTTGATGATAGCTTTTCCTAAAATTACTGGAAGAAACTGCCTTTTCAGCAAATACCACTGACTGAGCAAAATTCAAGAGCTTCTAAAAAGGATATTGTAGTGAAGGGGCAATTTAGCTTTATTTCCAATTTTAGGAAAAGCAAGAAGAGGAAGATTTTTTATTGGCATGTTGCTGCTGTTTTATGTACAGTATGTAATTCCCTGTCAACTATACAACAGTTTTTATTACTTTTCTGCTAAGTGTACAGTTACTAAAGTTTTAATTCCATGGAATACCGTATAGGGATCAGACCTTTTTGCACAAATGTCAACTGAGTGAAAATCCTGTACCAAGTTTTTGTATAAGCCTGTGTGCTAGTAGAAGGAAGCCGCAAATTCTCTTCTTACTGAGAGGGTGCCCTAAGCTATTTTCCAAAGTGACTTGTATAGATTTATTATTCTTAGTATTCACAAAAATATTTTGATGGTGATAGCATTGACATATGAGATTTCTGTCTTCAGATAGTTCTGCTATTTGCACATGAAGTTCTAGTTACAGTGCAAAAGTGACCTTGAATGGACATAACTTACAAATAGCTTAAAGGGAAAAAATGGGTGAAGAAGTGAGATTTTCTGTCTACTGGGAACATGTCAAAGAGTTCAATAAGAATGTTCCAACAGGTCACATTGATAATCTGTACCTTACTATCTGCAAGATACTACTAAGGTACAATGCATAAATTCAAAGCATGTGAGTAGTTTAAATGATGTAAATAGGATTACTCAGGTGCTTAAAGTCATGCACATGCTTAAGCACCCTGCCAAATCAAGGTCTAAACTGTTCTTTAGGAATATCCTCCAGGGTTCTGTTGGAGTAGGAACTGTAAAACTCAACTCTAAATAAACAAAATAGAAGACAAAAGTCTACTGGGTTTTCAATTCAATACCTTTGCCAAAGCTACAGACTACCTATAAAGCTGAAATAATAAAAAGCATACCCATAAATAAAAATAGTTTTGATCATTTTAATTAGAACAATGGCAATTGCTTATGAAATTTTATATTCTGTTGAATTGTTTGGTCAGCTTTATGTGCTATCCCAGTGAGACCTGTTAATATTAGGTATTTTTCCACTTGCTGCAGATAGTGACCATTCCTATCCTAGCATTTCTCTATTTTCTATCTTGAAATATTTACCCTTGAGATATGAGAAATCATCTTCATTTCTATGACATGTCATAAATTCTTCACACACACACACGCTCACCAATAACTGTAATAGTCACTAATACATTGTATCTGACAAGTTTTATAACACAGGAAGAAGAACAAGTTGGCATCCTCTCTTAAAAGAATTCAATGGCTATAGAGAGCACTTACGAAAAGACATGGTTTATTAAGATCATTTTGCTAACTGCACAAGAAACTGATTTCCCCAGCTGAATACATTAAACTGAGGCATACTTTTCATTGGATATTATTGACAGTAATGTTAGCAGGCATTTTCTGGACATTACCAGAGCAGATCCAACAGAGAGATGGTGGAGAGCGTTGGCATGTTTAGAAATGAGATGGGGTAGCTACCAAATTCTTCCTCTATATATATATATATATATATATAAAAAAAAAAAGTCTAGAAGCCATAAATCTAACAGTGTAGTTAAACAAATACTCTAAAAGAAAACAATTCCACAATGCACTCACAATCATTCAGCTCTTATTGTGTACTTACGCCACACTTGCTCATCCTAAAATGAGATATTGAATATAGTGTACAAAAGTTGGACAGTGCTGTCTAGTTTCAGCAGCCTGTACTTTTTGACTTATAAAGGAGGAAGGTGTGGGAGGGGGAAGGGGAGAATCTAGCCTTTATCCTTCTCAAGAATAAATAGGAGTTGCTATATATCTTGCCATATTAATACATATCAAGATATATAAATAGACCTTGATATCTCTCTTCCTCTCATGTAAATACAAACACACACACATACTCAGGTCAGGGTGATAAACCTCACAAATATGTGAACTATATGTCACTGACATTTACCCATCTATATGTGAGAAAAATATGAACCGAGCAAAGATTTAGGAAAATGGCATGACCTGACAAGTAGTATCAGAATGGTTAGTTATCAGTAATAAAACTGGAAAAGGTTATAAG